CACAATAGGTATTTCACAAGGATTATGGAGATAATCTAATGCATTAGCAATATCAATTGCAATATCCAATCTTGGAATAAAACTCAAACTTCTTTGATTATGCCCATCATTTGCGGTGTGAAGCTAACAATCCAGGTTTCCATTGGACAGGAAAAGAAAGACTAAAGCTTTGAATTCATTTCGTTGTACATCAATACTTGAGCAAGAAGTAATGACCTTGAGGAGATTCTGATGTCGTACTTTTGTGAGAACTTTGCATTCATCAACAAAACTCTTGGAAGCACTCTGTTATCGAAGGTTCAGAACCTTAATGGCAACAATTGATCCATCATTTGAAAGAATACCTTCATACACAGAACCAAAACTACCCGAACCAATCAAATTATCCTTAGAGAACCCGTCAGTTGATTTATTAAGTTCTAGATAAGAAATTTGTGGTTCAAAATCTTTGGTTGAAGATGAAGTTGATGCATTCTTCTTCGACTTCTTAAGCATAAAACACACGAAAATGACACTCAGAAGAATAATAGTACATGCAAGAGTAGATACTACAGAAATTAACACATGAGTTGCCATAAACTTTTTCGATGAATGTGGATGGTTGTATGTGCATGGAGGTAAGTGTAACTCTTGCAAACCATCACACAGATTATTGTTTCCAAGGATGGAAAACATGCTTGAATTGGAAAAATTGCTTCTTTAGACACTTTTCCCTCAAAGTTATTATAGGATAGATTGAGATACCTGAGGGAGAGAAACTTGCCAAAGAATTGGGGAATCGACCCAGACAAGTTGTTGCTTGAAATATCTAATACTTCCAGACCTCTCAAAGCTTCCATAGATTCAGGAATTGTTCCCTCAAATCGATTATCATCCAGATACAAGTGAAGTGTGCCAATACATTTACCAATGCTACTCGGAATATTACCAGATAACATGTTCTCTGACACATCCAACTCTGATAAACTGACTAGCTCACCAACTTCATTTGGCAGTGGACCAGTAAGTGAGTTATGAGCCAAGGAAAAAAAGATTGAAAGGGAAGGGGAACTAAAAACTTCTTTGGGTATGGTGCCACTGAGGCTGTTATTAGACAGATCAAGAGCTTGGAGCCTGTTGCATTGTCCTAAGCTCAATCGGTTAGTTTGTTCCCATGCAAATACAAAGTTACCAAGTTCTGAAGCTTACCAATATTAGGATGGATACTGCCATTCATATGGTTGCATTCCAGTCCAAGAACTTGCACATTAATCAAGTTTTCAATCCATGCTGGGATGCCTCCACTTAACAAATTACCACCTAAGGTTAGGCTTATCAGCTGGTTTGAAAGGTTGCTAATAGATGGAGGCAATACTCCTCCAAAATGATTCCCAGCAAGACCCAATTTGCTTAGACTATTACAATTAGCCAAGAAACTGATAAAACTTAAGTCACTGACTTTCCCACTTCCAAGTCTGTGTCGTCAAAATTGAGTCTTTTAAGCTCCCCAAGGCATCAGGTAGTTTTCCAGTGAGATTGTTCTTAGAAAAATCTAATTCCTGAAGACGGGAGGCATTAGTAAAGGACATGGGAATAGGGTCGTTGAAATTATTGATAGCACCATAAAAGAACTGAAGATTGGGAAGAGCAAATTCGACATTTGGGGGTACAAGTACTTGCAATCTATTTTGAGTGAGAGAAAAGTAATTCAAAGAAGTTATATTATAGATCGAAGTTGGCACCGTACCTGTCAAATAGTTTGAATAAACTGTAAAGCATTCCAATCTAGATAGACATCCTAATTCACTAGGAATGTTTCCTCGAAAGTTGTTCTTCGCAAATGACAGACGAAATATTGAAGAAATATTTCCTATCCAACGTGGGATAGTTCCAATCAGATTGTTATCACCAAACCCGAGTAGTTTCAACTTGGTTAATGTCAACATCTGGTATGGAATCTAACCGACTAACTTATTAGCACCAAATGTAATAACAACAAGCTCAGTGCAATGGCTTATATTCGTTGGAATCTCACCGCTGAAGTTATTGAAAGATAAATTGAGATGATGCAATCGTAGAAATCGACCGAACTCTTTGGGAATTTGGCCACAGAAGTAGTTATCTCCCAACCTGATTTCAGTGAGATAAGTAAGATTTCCCCAAGACGATGGAATCGAACCCGTCAGATTTCGAGCTTCCAAGTTCAAAACCTTTACTCTTCCAAGGGTAATATTGCAAGTAATACCAATCCAATTACAGAAATGCATAGATTCATTCCAAGAGTTCATGATTTTGAGTGGGTCGTTGAGTACTCTACTTTTCAAGTCAAGTAGAGCCAAGCCATCGTATTCATTTCCAGAAGTAGGAATATTCACCAAAGCCGAAACAATGGAGAACAGAAAGATATCATATAAAAATATACACAGAATCTTCTTGCTATTGCAGAAATTGTGCCCCATCCTGCTAGGAAATGCTGGATTTGAGATTCAAGAAAACATTATCTTTCAGTTTACTTTGCAGGGATGAGGTTAAGCCAAATGGAATTTATAGGCTATGGTGGCTTTGAGGTACAAATTTTGAGTGGAAGTAATCAATTACATGCCTGGTAATAGACAAATTTGTGGAGATAGTTCTTCATTCCATGTGAAGATATGACTCAAATATCTTGACTTAGACCCCGACTAGATGAATACTAGTAATAGTAATTTTGTTAATCATTTAACTATTTCATTTTTAGTTTTTTAATTTGTTAGGTTACAATTATTTTCTCATCATTTCTTTTAGTTTTCTTTTTTTTTAACCTTTATTAAAGACGCATATGAGGTCTTGGCCCTATTTCAAAAATAAAAACAAAATTTTAAAAACTATTTGGGTGACTTAAAATATCCCAAAGTTGAGGTCAAGCTACAAATATCTCACGGAAATTTGTGGAGATAGTTGTTCATGTGAAGACTAGTCATAGTAATTTTTCATGTAAAGAGATGACTCGAACCCCACGGGATGAATACTAGTAATGATAATTTTATTAATCATTTAGGGTACGTTTGGTGAGTTCTTTGCTTTTGATTTTTCTTGTTTTTAGTTTTTAATTTTTGGTTTACCATATATGTTTGATAATCATTTTTTGTTTTTTGTCCTTGAAAAACAAAAACCAAACATGTTTGATAACCGTTTTTAATTTTCTGTTTTTAAAAAGTTAGAAAATTAAAAATATATATTAGAGATAGAAAATTCTAAGTAGAGTAGATATGATAATGGTGTGGGTGCGAGTGAGGGTACTCTCCTCCATTCTCGTGTTTGTGAAAATTGTTAATCTCCATCATCACCTTGTTCTTCAGTCTGAGAGATGTTCTCGAAAAAAATTATCGGTTTTAATTATTTTTAGAATTAAAAAACGTAATAAATATATATTAATTATTTAAAAAATAGAATTGGGGACGGGGTCGGGATATACGTTTCCTATTTTTTCGAGCTTGACCCTGCAATAAAAATTATACTGGAAAAAATTTAGAGATAAAAACAATATTAAAAATATAATTTTTAGAAAAAATAAATAAATACATAGATAAATAAAAGTTGCAGTGGAAGAAAATTGAACGAGAAAATAATGATAGAAAAATATATTAGAAAGAGAAAGAAAAGTTATAAAAGACGAAATGTTAGAAAGAAAAAAGTTCGAAAAAACATTAAATTTTTAGAGAGAAAAATAAAACTGATATGTTAGAAAAAGAATAAAAATAAAAATACATAGAGATAAAAAATTTGGAGACAGAAAGATAAATAATAATAAATATTCAGAGTAGGAAAGTTTTAGAGAAAAATAAATAAATTTTGTAAAAAGAAATTTAGAAATAAAAAAATTTTAGAGAGAAAAATTTTAGAGGAGAAAGAATTTTTTAAGAGATAAATATGAGAAATAAAAAATTTGAGTATTAAAAGAAAAATCAGATTTTGAAAACCAGACATTTGTTTTTGAAATTTTTTTTATTTTTTATTTTTTATTTTTTTTTGAAATTTACATAGAATTTCAAAATGGTTTTTTAAAAACCAAAAACATAAAATTGAATTTGTTATCAAGCAACTTTGTTTTTAAAAAATTAAAAAACAAAAACCAAAAACTAAAAATAAAATGGTTATCGATGCTCAACAATTTTATTTTTTGTTTTTTATTTTTTAAAATTATACTTATTTTTTCATCCTTTCTGTTGGTATACTCTTTTTACCTTTATTAAAGACTCATATGAGTTCTTAGCCATATTTCAAAAATAAAAATAAATTTTTAAAAACTATTTGAGTGACTTAAAATATCCCAAACTCCAAAGTCAAGGTCAAGCTAGCAGATATCTCTGGAAATTTGTGGAAAGAGTTGTTCATGTGAAGTCTGGTCATAGTCATTTTCCATGTAAAGAGATGACTTTGAAATCTCTTGATTAAGACCCCACTAGAAGAATACTAATACTAATTTTATTAATCATTTAACTATTTCCTGTTTAGCTTTTTATTTTTTAAAATTAGACTTATTTTCTCATCATTTCTTCCAGTATATTTTTCTTTTTTGAGTTATTAGCCATTTAAAAAAAAATAAAACAAATTTTTAAAAACTATTTGAAGACTTAAAATATCCCAAAGTCAAGGTCAAAGCTAGCAAATATCTCAGGGAAAAAAACGTCAAAAGGTAGCAAAACTACATCTAACCAGTAACCATTTGTGGAAGAAGGAAAAAAAAGAATAGAAAAACAGTAACTATTGTTGTACTAAAAAATTTATATTTGCTAAATCAACTTTAAAATAATTATTACAAGATTATCTTATTTCAAGAAAAATAAATAAATAATAAAAAATAAAAATTCTCAACTTTCCATTATTATAGCTAACAAAAAAAATGAAAGAGTCTACTTTGTAATTTATCTAAAAAAAAAAGAGTCTACTTTGTATCATTCTCAAAATTCATAAAATTGTTGAGTTCTGAAACGGACCGACTGTGTATATATCTCAAACAAATTTAAACCTCAAACATGATGTCATCATTAAAATATTTCATAATATAATGTAAGCTTCACAAAATAGAAAACCTATGAAATGAAAATTAACATATTCCAAGCATGAGACGGTAAAGACATCTAGAGGTTCAAATCTACTAACCCTACATTTATTGTACTAAAAAAATGAAGAGATGTATGAAGAGAATTTATTTATTACAGTATTCTTCCCACCTTATTGCTTGAACAAACTGATTTTTTTTGCAGATGAAACAACGTACCTTACTTTGACTTTTCCAAAAATATGTGGGCACCGAACATATCATTATATGATGTAACCACAACGGTAAGCAGTACCTGCAGACAAACAATTTGGAAAACAGAGATAAGGAAGGAAACTCGTTGATGACTTCTAATTCTGATTACCAAAAATAAACGAACCTGCAACTTCAATTTCTTTAATCTTCTTACACTATTAGCTTGTCTTCTTCTTCTTAAACTTGAGATAGATAGGAGCTTCTACATGCCTGCAATTTGTTCACCACAATCTTCATGGGCATCCTCTCTCTAGGTGTTGTTGAGGAGCATGATAGGCCAATTTTCATTACAGAAATTACACATTCTTCCATACTTCTTTGCTCAATTTCTCTACCATCTTCCTCACCCATTATCGCTATTTCTTGTATTTTGTCTTCATTCTCTTTCTCTTGTTGGCGTGTTTCTTCAAATAGCAAAGAAGGGTCAATTATGTCTAAGGCATGTTGGGGCAATGCCATTGCAATGTATAAATGAATATCCACACCATCACCAAAAACTTCATCAGTGGGTCTTTTTCCAGTGATCATTTCTAGTAGTAGAATTCCATAGCTGAAGATATCTCCTTCAATGGAAATTTTGCCACCAGTGCCATACTCTGCAATTGATCATTTATGATTATTCCAAGAAAAAGTCAGGATCTAATGGTTGATATTGAAATATGGTAAAGTTTGGATTGGAAGGGAAATACCTGGGGGGATGTATCCTATAGAACCCTTGAGTGCAAGTGACATGGTTTGTCCGAAGGAGGATTCATTTGATCCTTCCAAGATGAATCTAGCTAATCCGAAGTCTCCAACATGGGCCACCATATCATCATCAAGCAATACGTTGCCAGGCTTGAGATCACAGTGGACAATGGGTGTTTCACAATAATTATGGAGATAATCCATTGCATTGGCAATATCAATGGCAATGTTCAATCTCTGTATAAGGCTCAATCTTCTTTGATTTTTTCCAAGATGTGTAGGGTGAAGCCAACCGTCTAAGTTTCCGTTGGACATGAAATCGAAGACTAGAGCTTTGAATTCATTGCCTTCTTTGTCTGTACTTGAGCAAGAGGTTGCAATCTTGAGGAGATTCCGATGTCTTATGCTTGTTAGAGCTTTGCATTCATCGACAAAACTCTTAGAAGCACCTTGTTGTTGAAGGTTTAGAACCTTAATGGCAACAACTAATCCATCATTCGAAAGAACACCTTTATACACAGAACCAAAACTTCCTGAACCAATCAAATTCTCCACAGAGAACCCATTAGTTGATTTATTGAGTTCTAGGTAAGAAATCTGTGATGGTAAATCCTTGGAGGAAGATGAAGATAAAGCATTCTTCCTCGACTTCTTCAGCATAACAAACAGAAAAAGGATGCTCAAAAGAATTATTAGAAATGTGAGCGTGGATACCACAGGGGTTAACACATTTGGTGCTAGAAACTTGTAGGAATGTGTTCTATTATGTGTGCACGGAGGTAAATGCAATTCTTGCAGACCATCACATAGATTATTATTTCCAATTAGAGAAATCAAGGTAGAATTAGAAAAAATCCCTTCTTTGGGCACTTCCCCCTCCAAATTATTATAGGATAGATTAAGATGCTTGAGCAAAAGAAGCTTGCTAAGAAATTGAGGAATTGGTCCAGACAAGTTGTTACTTGAGAGATTTAGTTCTTCTAGACCTCTCAAAGCTTCCAAAGATCGAGGAATTGTTCCCTCAAATTGGTTACCCCCCATATACAATTGTTCCATGCTAATACACTTACCGAGGTTGCTAGGAATATCACCTGACAATTTGTTCTCTGATACATCTAATAGTGTTAAACTAACTAACTTGCCCACTTCGGATGCCAATGGACCAGTAAGTGAGTTATGATTCAAGGCTAAATAAATTGAAAGGGAAGAGAGACCGAGAACTTCCTTAGGTATGGTGCCGCTTAGGTAGTTACCAGAAAGGTCAAGAGCTTGGAGGCTTTTGCATCCGCCTAAGCTTGGTGGTATACTTCCCTCAAGTTTGTTATCCTCCATGAAGAGTTTAGTCAATGAAGATAAGTTACCAATGGAGGATGGAATTAGCCCAGTTAAGTCGTTACCATTCAAATGAAGAAAAACCAAGTTCTGAAGCTTCCCAATATTGGGAGGGACATTACCATTCACATAATTATATTCCAGTCCAAGAACTTGCAAGTTAATCAAGTTTTCAATCCCGGCAGGAATGCTTCCACTTAACATATTACTGCCTAAGGTTAGAATTGTCAGCTGGTTGGTAAGGTTTCCAATAGATGGAGGCAATGTTCCTCCCAGGCGATTCCTAGCAAGGCCCAAAACCCTTAGACTAGTACAATTAGCCAAGGACCTTATTAAATTCAAGTCACTAATTTTCCCACTTCCAAGTTGGTTGTCGTCAAAATTGAGTCTCACCAAGTCTGTTAAGATCCCCAAGTCATCAGGTAGCATTCCAGTGAGACTGTTCTCAGCAAAATCTAAAACTTGAAGATTGGAGATGTTCGCCAAGGACGTTGGAATAGGCCCTCTAAAATTATTGACACCACCAGCAAAGACTCGAAGATTGGGAAGAATAAATCCAACATTTGGTGGTAGAGTTCCTTGTAATCGATTTTGAGTAAGAGAAAAATAAGTAAGAGAAGTTATATTATAGATTGAAGGCGGTACTGTACCTATCAAATAGTTCCCATAAACTGTGAAGAATTCCAATTTAGATAGGTGACCTAGTTCACTGGGAATGTTCCCTTGAAAAGTGTTCAGCGCGAATGACAAATGAGATATGGAAGAAAAATTTCCTATCCAAGGTGGGATAGTTCCAGTCAGATTGTTACCGCCAAAACCAAGTCGTTCCAACTTGGTTAACGAAAGGAACTGGTAGGGAATCTGTCCTATAAGTCCATTGATACTTAACTCCAGAACAACAAGCTTAGTGCAATGACTTATATTCGCTGGAATCTCACCATCAAAGTTATTGAAGGATAAATTGAGATGACGTAAAAGGAGTAACTGACCCAACTCTTGGGGAATTCGGCCATGAAAGTTGTTGTCTCCTAATCTGATTTCAGTGAGATGAGTAAGGTTTCCCAACGAAGACGCTATTGAACCAGTCAGTTTCCGAGCTTCCAAATTCAAAACCAGCACTCTTCCAATAGTAGTATTGCAAGTAACACCAATCCAATCACAGAAATGCAAGGAATCATTCCAAGAGCTCATGATTCGAAGTGGGTCGTTCAGTATTCTACCTTTCAAGTCAAGTAGAGCTAAGCGATCTGATTCATCTCCTAAAGTGGGAATATTCCTAAACGCCGAGCTCATGGACATCAAAAAGATATCATATAGAAGTATACACAGAATCCTCTTGATATTGCAGCAATCGTGCCTCATCCTTCTGGGAAATGCCGGATTTGTAACTAACAGTACCTAATCTATCAGTTTTCTTGCAAGCATAAGCGTACCGAATAATCGGATAAGGCAGCAGCTTCTAGGGTCGAATTTTGTTTGGAAGTTATCATTTAATGGCTGTTAGCCGTTAGGTGGTAGATAAATATGAGGAGAGTTTTAAATGATACAAATATCTTAGCTTGACCCCACTCCACTAGATGTTTTTATGAATATTATTATTTTTCAAAATTAATAAAAGAAGAGATAGTTTTAAAATTTTATTTAAGTTTTATGGTGATTTTTATGGAATTTAAATTTATGTTAGATTACGAGTCCTTGAATTTTTTAGGGTTGCATCTAATAAATTGTCTAATAAATTACTGAATTTTTTTTCTAAATAATAGATCTTGAACTTTAAAGTGTCAAATAATTAACTGAATTTCAATTTTGTGTTAATAGATTTTTAACATATAAGACATAGCTAAATTCACGAAAATTATTAGATGTGGGTGAAGAACTTGTTAGATACAAAATTTACTGTCGTATCTAGTAGGTCAATAATTTAAAAAATGTTAAATCGTGAATCCATTAGACACAAATTTGAAAGTTCAAGAACTTACTAGACATTTTTAAAAGTTTAAGAATTTTAGACATCACAACTCAAAAAATAAACTTGTAATTTAACCAAAAAGTATGGTTTCGTTAGAAACAAAAAAAAAGTACAAAATCTGATATTCATAAATTACAAATTTAATTTCCTTTAAAATTATTTATTAATCATTTAATAGTTTTAATTTAAAAGGACAAAATTATAATGAATAATAAATAAAAGTAAAATATAATCGAAGTCAATATAATTATTTTAAAAATGATTCAAAATATTGCGTA